AACTCAAAATATTATACTCACCAACGCCATCAACATGGACATGCCAGATAAAGTGCTCTAAAAAAAAGCAAGAATTATCATATTTTCCCTTTGCTTGAAAGTTACTCGCGAGACATCTGCCACTACTTTGACAAAGTAAATGAAGTATTAGTTTCACTTCTGCGCTTCGCCGTTGTAGAATTGTCTGTACCTCGTACTGAAGTCCACGCTAGCCAGCGCACAAATAGTGTACACCTCACTGAGTCTGAAAGAATCTTTAAATCCATTTAGAGGTATTTTTTGTCTGCGGTTAGGCTAGTTAATACAAAATCTATCAAGTTTACTATGTGCAGTAAAAAAAATATGTGTATTGCATAGTGTGAGGCTATCGACACTCGTGTCTCACAAGATCTCCTCTTTTCCGTTCACTATCTACCTCATCCGTACCAAAACTTATCAAAATGCTTCATCATCGTATCATACTTGGATACTTTTCATACCGCTCTATGTCCGAGGCACAATTGTAAAGGGTGTACTAACACCACAATACAGTGCGATTTAGAGACGACCTAAGCGTCGTTCAAAGTGCGCTGACGTCGTATAGCGTGTAGATGGATGTATCAACCATTCTCGCAACGGCGGTCTTCGTCGTGCATTTGGTGGTGTGTGTATTGCCAGCGTCGCCGGTAAGAAACAAGATGTGCTCTCTTCTTGTAATTTAACTATATTGACTGTGGTCGTAACCACAACAAGCCTTTGTGACGCCAATCAATCCTTTCCTACATACATTCAGAAATGTAATTACAACACTCCCGCCCGGGTACGTGTTTGGGCACTGGATTGATATTTTTCTCACTTGGCTCTCGCAGAAACTTGAGCTTTGTGTTCCCGACCGCTTTCGTGAGCATGTCAGTATTATTAATGCCGATAAAGCCAAAATGTGTTATTTCATGGCTGCGCATAATCCTTGTATGAAATGGTGCCAGTTATCTACATGCTTTGTCCAAGCGTGGGAATAAGCATTACTCGCCAAGTGTCTTTCTACTTGATTACCATACATACATGTCGGCCTCCACTTTGCTCATGATGCACATCTAAAACTTTCGAAATGCACGATCCAAAAGACATACGCTCAATTTTTGCGGAACTCAAAAAATCGAGCACAACCGCCTTCCTTTATTTATCAAAGTACACAGCACACTATTTCTGTCGTCGGTATTAGTACGCCATTTCCACTGCCACCTTGGTACTT